AAAAAAAAAGGAGATAGAGAAAGGAACCAAGATGGCGCCGGAGGCAAAAACAACGTAAGGAGTTACAGGAACAGCAGGCTGCATAGAAACGGGGCACCATGGCCTCAACAGTCCTCTGTTTATTGAGAATTGAACATTAAACAATTGGTTACTGGTCTTCAATATGGATTGAGGCTCAACATCAAGAGATCAAAGATTCCCAAAGAAGAAAGGGTGAGTCCCAGGGCTCCCAGGCCCCCACAGCCGAGCCCACGACTCCCCTGCAGTTCCATGAGGCTCCCATGGCCGGACCCCAGGGATCCCCTCACCGGGGATGGACGATGGACCACCAGGCCCCGAGGCTGGTGCTGCAGAGGCTCCACGCTGCACGGAATAGACTCATTCTGGGAAGATTTCTGAGAAACAACGCCACTTAAAGGGAAGATTTCTGAGAAACAACACCACTTAAATGTGCCCACACAGCCAGGCAGTTGACTACTGGCCATCAGTGTGGACTGGAGCTCAACATCAGGATGGGGATTCTCAGGGGAACATGGGTGGGTCCCGCCTCCTCCCTCTGCCTGCCGCTGAGCCTGTGCTGCCGTGACCCCACGTGGCCGGGGCCCACGAATCCCCCATCCTAGACCAGGTGGCCGGTGTGGTGGAGCCCCTGTGCAGCAGGCGAGTCGCAGGCCCCCAGCACTGGAGGGGGGACAGACAGTGGTGACGGCATCAGTGGCAGCACCACGGAACCGCAGGAGATGAAGGTCTTGATAAGGGAAAGCACTGGGTTTCCTTGAACAGGCCAGAGAAGAAGATCATCAGCACAATGGATTGATAAGGGTCACTATGAGCTGTCTACGACTGACAACAATAACAACAACATATCCAAGATGGCAGATATCTTCAACACACCACATCTTTTGATCTACTTTTGACAACTGCTGCCAAGAATGCTTGGAAGGGTGGAGAGACTGAGAAGAGGAAGACCATCAATGAGACGGACTGATTCAGCGACTGGGGTAATGTGGGGAGGTGTGTCAGAGACAGTCAAGTTGGCACAGGATAGAGCAGGTTTCAAGGCTACTGTACACAGGGTCGCTATGAGACGCAAGCAACTCGATAACACACAACAAGCACCTCTAATACACACGATTTTGTTGTATTTATACAATATAAAAGCTAAGGGGGAAAGTCCTATCAAACAATGTTAGGGGCAAAGCCAAGACCAACCCATATAACGGGTCTGACTCTGATCTTTGATAGCAAACACACAACAGATGTTATAAAGCCAGCCTTGCTTCAATTCAGTAGTTTTCAGCCCTGGACACAGGCTAGAGTGAGTCTCTTTTTTAAAAAATATTTGCGTCCCAACCCACGAAGTCAGGATCTCTGAACAGATCAGGGTCTGGCCGAACCCAGGGGTCAGCTTGGGCTGAGAACCTCTGTTCCTAAAAGATTTGTAATCCTGAGTCATATGCCTCAATGTGATGCTATTTCCCTGTCTCCTATAGAGGGACCATAGCTAACAGTCATGACGGCTGGTCAGACAGCTCAGAATTTCACAAGTCAACAAAGCTAAGTATTTGGGTGGTGGTGGTGGTTGTTTTTACGTGTGATCGAGTCGTAGGTGACTCACAGTGACCCTATGAACGAAAGACCTGACCACTTGTATAACTTTCGTCCTTTCTCCATGTTCACAGAGTGTCCAAATGGATGCCACTCCTGCTTCCAAGCTTATTTTAATTGGGGAGCTCCACCAAACACTATCCACCATGGGTAACCATTCTCTCATTTGACTCCTCAGTGACACAGTGTTCAACTTCACAGCAACCACGAGTTACCTCTGTACAGCAAACAGACAGACCAGGGATATATGAAGTAGAAGAATGTTTGACCAAAAACAATTAAAACCAGGCCTGAGGCCCAGGGATTAGAGTCACCCATCGTTGGCATGGTAGCATCACTTTCTGTCCACTAGGCCAATGGATCTCTTTCTATGCTGCTGTTGTTGTTAAATGCCATCGAGTTGTAGGCGACTTCTCCTTAAAACGGTCATGAATACCACACTGAAACATGCTGTTATCATTAGCTGCCATCATGTCAATTCCACCTCATGGCTACCCATGTGTGCACAGTGGAGCCCCCCACAGGGTCCCTAAAGGGGCGACCTTTCAGAAGAAAATTGCCAGGCCTTTCTTCTGAGGCACCCCCAGGCAAGTTCAAACAGCTGAGTGTTGATCTAGCAGTTGAGCGCTTACCGGTGATGCCACCCAGAGGTGCCTCTACTTACTAACTGATGTCGTTGTTGGGCATCATCAGGTTAGAAACAACTCACAGCTGACCCTCCACTGGCTTTCAGAGGCAGTAAATCACAGAGGGAAATGGCTCACCTTTCTCTTCTGAAGCAGCTGGTGGATTCAAACCACAAGTCTCGGGCTGCCAGCACAGTGCCTTACCACTAAGTCACCAGAGAACGCCTGACTACTTCCGACACACCAACCATGAAGAACAGAAAAACCTCCATGTAGCAACATGGCACCCAGTTTGTTGCCTTAAGTACTAAATAATACTGAAACATTGTATATGCCAATGAACTGCAGACAATCTTGGAAAATATTTGCGGTTTGGAATTTTCCCACAGCCACATGTATGAGGAGACAAATGAAGGAACCTGCAGCACAAGAACACGCTCGCGCACAGGGACGCTGAAATCAGTCCCACAGGCAGTTTCCACTGCGCAGAGGACAAAGGGCTTCTCAGAATCATGACTGCCAGCGGACTGCTCATTTCTTACTCAACATGGTACTGAAAAGGCTGTTGCTCCGTTCCCACCTTACCTGACTTATGCTGCTGGACTCAACAAAGATAAGTTTGGCTCCTGGAAAAACCAAAATGCCAACTTTCTTTATTTTTAAACTTCCTCTAGAAGTCTTTCATATTACCTGATTGTGTAAATTTTTTTTTTTAATTTGTAAGGAGATTCTTTATTTTCAGTCCCAAAATATTTCCTTAAAAACCATTAAGACTGGAATGATGGATTTTTCCTCTTTACTGCTGCAATTTCTGCAAATTCATTAGCAAAGAGGTAAAATATCAATAAAAACTTCCCTCACTCTTTCCACGTGAAGGAGCAATAAAGTAGATCATACGGGACCTCCGATGACCCATTCAGGTCAGCTGTGATCTCCAGAGCTCACTCGGCCGTCCCCCGTAGTCAGTAATACCGCCGCCTGTGAGGCTGGTAAGAAGGGATCCCCTGACCCTCGATCGCTGGGCTGCTGTATGGCTTAAC